ATCTATCTATCTATCTATCTATCTATCTATCTATCTATCTATCTATCTCCATATGCACCAGCTATCCAGCCCCATACACACACCTCTGTCTAATCCAGTCCATCTATGTATGCTCTAGACCAGCAGTTCTCAACCGGGGAGGCCGCCAAGCAGGGCCAGGGTCAGACTCGCTGGGGCCCAGGGTGGAAGCCGACTCCCCACCGCATGGGACTGAAGCCCGGGGTCCCCTGGGGCTGACGCCGAAGGCTGAGCATTTGCCCGGCTTGCTAGCCCATAAGGTCGTGGTTTTGATAACACAGAAAACAGTTGTTGTGGCACAGGTGGCCCGTGGCTTGTGTTGGGGGGTGGGCGGGGGGAGGGCTCAGAAAGTAAAAGGGCGCTAGCCACTCATCTATCTGATCCGTCAGTCCATCGACTCCCCAGACACACGCCTCTTTGGATCGGTTCATTTCACTAGCCCGCCCGCCAGCCCTATGCACACCTAGCTGTCTCTTTCTTTTCTTCCTTCTCTCTTTCCCTGCATCCCTCTCATCCTCTGTCTCTCCCGTCCTCTTTGCCAGTCTCTGTCCCGCTCCCTCCCCCATCTCGCCTCCCCTTAATGGCACACAATGAATTACATCTCTGGGAAGGAAAGGAGATTTTCATCTTCCTCTAAAGCCCTTGGTTGCTCCTGGATTGGCAGGGGATTTGCTGGGGGACACGGTATTTAATACCATAATTTGCTTCGGATCAGCAGGCCCCAGGCCGGGGTTCCTAAGCAGGCAGGGGGCCAGGCAGGTGGCTAACACCTGTTCTCCTGCCCTTTGCTGGGATTACAAAATGTAGCTACCGGAAGCAGCTGTGAAAGTCCTGGTCATGCGGCCGCAACCAGGAGAGAATGTATCAGGCTTGCCTGGCACGCAGCTCTTCACATCCTGGTTTGTTATTGTAGGGTCTCTCGTGAGCTCTGTGCTGGTTTGTTATTATAGGGTCTTTTGTGAGAACCAGACCTAGCTTGTCATTGGTGGGTTCCTTGTGAACATTGGGAGCTGCGTGCCGGTGTGTTGGGGTAGGGTCTCCGGTGAGTGGTGGGGCTATCGACCGGGAGCGTGATAAGGAGAAAGCTGATTGGAGTCACACGGAGCTGAGTCCACTCTCGCTCACCCCGGCGTAAATCAAGGATAGCTTAACTTTTACCTCCCCGCTTCCCCGTCGGAGTCAATGAGGAACACACCTTTGAAAGATAGAGCTCTTTGATTTATTTCTGAACGGACACGCGGCCAAAGACATCGATATGAAAACCTGTTCAAAAGGGGTGCGGCTTATAAAGGACAGCACCGCTAAGGGGCGGGGACAGGGAGGTTCCTCAAAATGGGAGGGCGGGGCTAGAATCCACACACGTCATAGGTTACAACAGTCCTCTTTGGCCTGTACACGATCCCGTCTGCCATTATCTTACAGTGCGTCTATCACAGCATGGTGGTGGCCATCTAGTTTTTGGCACACCCATTGTTACAGAAGTGGGGCGGTCGTCTTGAACCACAAACCAGGGGTTCACGGAGGAGGCTAGGACACAGTATCTCTTCAACACTTGGCAGAGGCCAGTTTGCGCCGGGCATTTACGCACCGGTTGTTGCTGGAAGTTGGGATTTAGGGTGGAAAGGAGATTGGGGGGACTAGTATTTAGCATTGTCTCACAGTTCGCCATCATGTGGCATGGCCACCCTCTTGAATGACCATCCCCATCTTGAGTGACCATTCCCATCTTGAATGGCCACCCTCTTGAATGGTGGTCATCATCTCAAATGGCCACCCTCTTGATAATCTCTCTGGTTTTTGCTAGAAGTTGGGGCCAGGGGATAAAGAGAGCTGGAGCGATATAAGGGACTGGTCAGTGGAAGTAATTTAATGCCTCCGTCCATCTTGACAAAGGCCATCTTGCTCTTCACTTTGCTTATGGCTAAAAGTTGAGGGTGGGGGTGGGGGGAAGGTGATGGAGAATTATTGAGGTAACAAGGGCTTGGCCAAAGGAATTACGACACTATCACGCCTACAATCATGCCTGTCTCTCTGGACCAGAGAGAGGAGACGGAGGGGATAAGATTTAAATAGGGGGGATGAAAGGCATTTTTTAGTCCCCAAAGGGTGCTAATTCTACAATCGGAGGATAGTACCATACATGCTATCTTGGTCAATACAAGAGACAAAATTGACCATTCTTGGCCTGGTGAGGGGTCCTTCTTCTTGGGCTCATTTTGCCAGGAACAGAAATCCCTGGACAAGGCAGGAATGGGAGATTCTGCTTTGGAGATTAAATAGCTGGAGGAAGCTATTAGTAATGAAATACAGCCAAGCTCCCCGTGAACTGAAACAGAGCCAGACGGGGCACGAGAAGAAAGGTGGCTCCGGGGTCAAGCAGGAGACGTCTGGGTAGCGAAAGCCAAGAGGGCGTTGTACTAATACCTTGCAGTCTTGTGTCTGAGGGCTTCAGGCTGGGGCGTTAGCCTGGTTTTAGGGGTGTATGAAGAGGAAGTGGCTTGCCAGAGGTCAGATGGTGAATAGGACCCAGCTCCCCCGCTCTAACCACTAGACACCACTCCCCTCCCAGAGCCGGGAACAGAACCCAGGAGTCCTGGCTCCCAGCCTGCCCTGCTCTAATATTCCCAGAGCTAGGGGTGATCCTACCAAGTCCCCCCCCCCCGCCCCAGGACGTTAATTAGCTAACAAGTGCGAGTATCGATGAACAGCAGCAAGGTTTGGTACAACAGGAAATAGATGGGGAATTGGATTGGCCAGTTTTCATTGGCACAAGCTGAGCAGAAAACAACCCAAAACAAAACATCAACGGAGGTGAATTAAACTGAGCCAGGTGATAATCCCACCGGACACTGAGAAGGCAGGAGCTGAGCTCTTCGATACTGGTGCCTTAAAGGGATGGACCTATTTGGGGGCTTCCGTGCGAAAGGGGCCTGCATTTGGAGGCTGGGTCTCATGTGTAAAGTTTGCAGTAGATTTAAATGCCGAGGACCGATTGTCCAATGTGCACCATGAGGCAGCCAGAGGAGGGACGCTATGAGCAAGGCAGGTGTATTTGAATGTTGGCCCTCGTGTACACTTGTTGTAAACCTGTTGTAAGCCTATAATAAACATGTTTGTAAACCAATAGTATACCTGCTGTGAACCCATAGTGACCCTGTTTTAAACCCGTTGTAAACCCACCATGAAGCTGTTGCAAACCTATCGTAAACATGGAAGTCTGTAGTGAACCTGTTGTAAACCCATGGTAAAGTCACTGCTAGCCTGTAGTAGCCATATAGAAAACCTGTTGTAAGACTATAGAAAAATATGTTTGTAAACCAATAGTAAACTTGTTGTAAACATCTGGTACATCCGTAGTGAACCTGTTCTAAACCCACAGCAAACTCAGTGTAAGCCTATAGTAAACATATAGCAAACCTGTTGTAAGTCTATAGTAAACATGTTTGTAAAACAACAGTAAACCTGTTGTAAACCCATAGTGAACTTGTTGTAAACCCATGTTTGTAAACTAATAGCAAACTTGCTGTAAATCTGAAATAAACATGTTTGTAAGCTAATAGTAAAACCATAGTGAACCTGTTGTAAGTCTCTAGTGAACCTGTTGTAAACCCATTGTAAGCCTACAGTAAAATGTAGTCATAATGTACTACATTAATGTTCAATAAAATGTAAAGTAATAGTAAATCTGTTGTAAACCCTCCGTAACCTGTTGTAACCCTATATTAGACCTATCATAAGACCACAACAAATCTATAGTAAATTTGTCATGAACCTGTAGTAAACCCAAAGTATACCTGTGTGAAACCCATAGTAAATATATTGTAAGCCTATAATAAACACATTGTGTAAAGCTGTAAGTGAACCTGGAGCCAATCAGTAGTAAAGCTATTATGACTAGATTTACAACAGGATTACACATGAAGCCCAGTTTTAAAATATGGCACCCTACCATAACATCCAAACATGTGAAGCTAAGTGTAACCATGGAGTGAATCTGTTGTAAACCATTAGTAAACATATAGGAATCAAATGTCCAATAGGGTTACAGATTAAGCTTAATTTTCAAAGGTGGCACTGTGCTATAGCATCCAAGTATATGAGTATATTGTAAACCCTTAGTAAACACAGCTACAATCGTTTCACACAGGAGACTTGCGAGATCCAAAGGTGGAAATCTCTAGGATGCCTCCTCTACAGATTTACAAGAGATTTACATGAGGCCTAGCTGGACATCCACCCGTGCAAAGCTATGGTAGCCCTAAAGTAAACCTGTTGTAAGCTATTAGTAAACAGATTTACAATAGGTTTACACACAAGACCCAGTTTTCAAATGTGGCAGCACAACGTGATGTGTAAACCTACTGCAGTCTATTGTAACCCCACAGTAACCCTATGGTAACTCCATAGTAAACCTATAGTAACCCTATAGTAGACTTCTCACCAGCTTCTCGACACAACGCAAACCTCACGGTTCACACAGCGGATCAGAAACAGAAGGTTTTCTTGAAGATGTTTCAACAGGAACAGCTCTGAAAGAGGAAACAGGCTCACAGGCAACCCCACACACGCATTCTCCAGAGGCACCTCACCCACACGTTCCCACTCGCTCAGGACGGGAGATGGGACGGCTGCCTGCCGGCTAGGCCAGGATGTGGGGGAGGAAGGGGCATCAGGAGGTCTTCATGCCGACGACCACGTCCACCTCCTCTTCCGTCTGCAAGGTGTGCCACTGGGCGATGGGGCGCCGGGGATTAGCCAGCATGTCGGACCAGTGACGCAGCTCCGTGCCGGTAGCGTTGCAGCCCACAAAGACCTTCCCAATGGCTTCGTTCTTCCCCAGCTTGTCGTAATCCAGGACGGTGAGAACAACCTGGACTTTCTGCCGGGGGAGGAGAGGCGCCACGGTGAACTCACCTACCGCGGTGCCCCAGCTGGGGATCGGTCAGGGCCGTGAACTTCCCCGGCAGCAGTGCCACGAACCAGGGATTGCCCGTGCCATGCTGCGAGCTTCCCTGCAGCAGTGCCCCCAGCTGGGGATCCCCCCCAGTGCTGTGATCTTCCCCCACAGCAGTAATATCCACGTCAAGCAGGTGAGAGAAGGGGGCACCGGCTCCCATCTAGGAGGCGCCGGCTCCCATCCGGCCCCAGAGCGGGGACTGGCTGGCTCAAGGGGGTGGGGAATGGGGCACGGGGCCATGCCCTCTAGGGGGCGCCGGCTCCCTCCCAGCCCCAGAGCGGGGACTGGCTGGTTCAGAGTTGGGGGGAACTCACCTGGATCTGCTCAAAGGGAACCTCGAAGCTGAAGGATTCGTTATAATAGGGGTTCAGAGTGTTTTTCTTAATGGTCGTTTTCTTCTTCTTCAGCCGCTTTCCCCCCTGCATCAGGTGGATTTTCACGTAGGGATCTGGGGGGGGGGGAGGAGACAGTTCAGAACAGAGACTCCAGGCCCCACCTGGGCCTGATGAGCAACCCCCTGCCCTGCCCCCGAGCTGGGCCAGTCAGGTGACCCTCGAGGTAGCTATCCCACAATTCCTGGCTCCCGCAGGTTCAAGCACCCCAGTAAGTTTGCTGAGCCAGGGTGTGAATAGAGCTTGACCCCCTGGACATCCAGGCATGAGCCTGATTCACGGGGGGCAGAGATGGGGCCTTGGCTGGGGCACTACTGCGGGGAAGCTCACAGCGCCGGGGTCTCCAGCTGAGGCACTGCTAGGAGGAAGCTCGCAGTGCTGGGGTTCCTGGATGAGGCACTGCTGGGGGAAAGCTCACAGCGCCGGGGTCCCCAGCTGGGGCACTGCTGGGAGGAAGCTCGCAGTGCTGGGGTCCCCGGCTGGGGCACTGCTGGGAGGAAGCTCGCAGCGCTGTCTCACCTGACAGCCCCCCCCACATCCATCTTCTTCAGGTTCTTGGCTTCCAGCACAATGACTGTGAGCTTCCCGGCTGTGGGGACGTAGCGCAGGGAGAAGCAAACGTCCCCCAACTTCTCCTGCTGTGGTGCACGGGGGGGGGGGAGGAGGTGGCACAGTCAGACTGGGACAGCTTGTCTGTAGAACCCCCGCCCAGGTATCCTACCTCTAGGGACCCCCTCTGCCGCATTAGCCAATGCTGCCCCCCCCAGAATCCCATCCTGCAGAGCCCCCCTTCCCCCG